GTATTAGCTGAGATTCGAGAAGCATATTTTAAAAGGAGTTGCCGGCGACGTAGCCAGGGGGGAAGTTCATTAGCTTCTCTGTATAAACTCTCTGCGGGGCTCGACCTGAAGGCTCCAAGGCATATTCGGAGTGCAGTGTTGTGTACAGAATTTAGCAGTTTTAGATCTGATTGGCTAGCTGACATATAAATGAAACTGCAGTAGTCTATTTTAGAACGAATAAGACATCTATAAATCTGAAGCAAGGAGTCTTCGTCTGCACCCCAATGATGATTAGACAGAGTTTTTAATAAGTTAAGATTTGTCATGCACTTAGTTTTGAGATCTTTTAAATGGCTTTTCCAAGTAAGTTTGCTGTCGAATGTGAGTCCTAAAATCCGCATACTCTTGACTGCAGGTAGACAAGTACCATTTATGGTAATTTTAGGATCTATAGTACTGGCTGTCCTGCGAGAAAACTTAATGATTTTTGTCTTTTTAACAGAAAAGTTAAATCCGCTTACTGAAGTCCATTCAAGTAATTGGTCAGTAGCATTCTGAAGTAGTTTGCAAGTAGCAACAGTGTCTTTGCCTCTGCAAAAAATTATTAAATCATCTGCGTAGAGTGCAAACTTGACTGGAAGCTCAATTTTTTTACATATATCGTTTAAAACAAGAATAAAGAGTGTAGGACTCAATACCGACCCTTGGGGAACGCCATCAGTTTGTTTAAAAGTCCTAGAAATTTTGCCATTTTCTCTTACGTTAAAAGTTCTATTTGTTAGAAATTGATTAATAAATGACGACATATTTCCAGATATACAGTATTCCTCGAGTTTAGCTATAATAAGAGGCCTATACAGAGTATCGAATGCTTTTTCGATATTAAACGAAACAGCTATTAGGTCTTGTTTGCACTGAAAGGCATTAATAATTGATGTTTGAAGGATTGCTAGATTGTCTGCTGTACTTCGATTTGATCTAAAACCTGATTGTGCCAAATTTATTATTTTATGTTTTTCGAGGAACCACAGGAGTCTTTTATTGATCATTTTTTCCATAAGTTTGCACATTGTACATGTAAGAGAGATTGGTCTGTAGGAATTTGGATCAGTTGAAGGTTTGCCTTGTTTTTTGACAGGAATTATTGTGGATTTTTGCCACAAAGTTGGAAATGATTTTTTGGTCCATATTAAATTGTAAATTTCCAGCAATTTAGCTAAACTAGGCCTTGAAAGATTTTTAATAAAGATAAAGGGGATGTTATCTGGACCTGCAGCTGAATTTTTGCAACAGTACAATGTGTCTGATAATTCTTGTATTGTGAATGGCATATTTAAGAAAATTTGATCTGATTTTCTGCTATCAGATAAACTGGAGTTTAGATTAGTAGACATGGGAAGCTGAAAATTTGAACTAAGTTTATTTGTTGCTTTTTATGAAAGGTTTCACCCAAGATGTTAACAATTTGTTGACTACAAGTGACTGTGCTGTTTTGAGTAAGTATGGCAGAAATTTTTGAATAGGTTTTCTTTCCTGTCATGTGTTTAATTTTTTTCCAAATTTTGCTAGAAGGAGTGTCAGTATTTATGGATGAGACATGTTTTTTCCAGAAGCCTTTTTTACTTTGTTTAATTACATACTTAGATTTGGCTCTCAGTTTTTTTAAAGAAATTAAATTTTCTTTAGTATTGTCTCTGCGGTATTTGTTTAATGCTGCCTTACTTTGTTGGATAGCCAGAGAGCATCTTTCGTTCCACCAAGGTGTTTTTTTACGAGACGAAGAAATTGTTATTTGTCCAATATTTGCTTCAGCAGCGGAGATTATATAGTTATTGAAAGCGCCAATATTTTCATTTGCATCTTCTGATAACTCTCGCTGATTTAGTTTGTTCTCAGTATATAATCGAAAGCCATCCCAGTTAGCGTTAGAAATGTTCCATTTTTTTAAGGACTCGAAATGTTTAACAGATTTTTCAGATATTAGAATAGGAAAATGATTACTGTCATAAAGATAGTCAACTGGTTTCCATGTGAGGTTAGGATATATTCTTGGATGGCACAAGCTTAAGTCTATTGAGGAGAATGTACCAGTAGCAATATTAAAATGAGTCTTGGAATGGTTATTCATCATACAAGTATCGGTAATGTTCAATACATTTTCAACAGTTTTTCCGCGGCCGAAGGTTTTTTCAGAACCCCACAATGTATTGTGGGCATTGAAATCTCCAACAAGAAGGAAAGGTGAAGGAAGTTGGTATATGAGGTCCACTAAATCGACTTCGGATAAACTATAATTTGGAGGAATGTCGATACTACAAACTGTAATTTTATTTGGACACCAAATGTTAACGGCGATAGCTTCTAAGTTTGTGCAAATAGGAAGATGTGTGGAGTAGAGATTATTGGATACGAATATGGATGTTCCACCGCTAGCTCTAAGATAGTCAGTTCTCAGGAAATGATATCCTACAAAACCATTTAGAAGTCGTTTGTGGTCAGATTTGAAATTCGTTTCTTGTAAACATACTATGTCGGCAGTAGTATTAAAGATTAACTTTTGAAGGTGTTCAAGTCTAGGGTAAAACCCATCACAATTCCACTGGATTAGATATAAGTTTATTAAAATGAGGATTTTTGCGAATGTTGGGAAGTATCTGAGAAACATTCCTCATCTGGAGGTTCTAGTGATGACAGGGAATTTATGCTCACTGTGTCTGCTGTGTCAGACTGAAAAACTTGCTAAAGTTTTTTTGATATTCTTGTAAATCTGTACTTTAGTGACCTATCTGTTAGAAAAGGATAAATATTATACATGTCAGAGAGTAATGATTTGATGTCATGTGTAAATTGTTGGGCTTCAGATAATATATTGCTACTACCATAACTATTTTCAAGAAAACTTATAAAATTGTCTACAGAAGTGGAAAAAGAGTGTGATGACTTACTAAAACAGTCTTTTATTGCTTCTTTTGAGGCATCCGTGATTTTGGAACTATCACACGAATCTTTTTTTAACTTCTTCCTTGCTTGTTTCATTGGTTTTCTGTTTGTATCTTGATGAGGTGGAGGCATTGCAGGTGAAACTTCTTCTTGTGTTTCTGACACGTTGATTACGTTAGAATCGACTGAATTCGAAAAGGCTCTTTTCATTCCAGGGACAGGTGAGGATGGCATTTCTTCAGTTGTTGATGGATTCTCTGTAGTAACTGAAGGGACAGTTATATTTGTGCAATTGTTAGCTACATGTCCAGATTGTTTGCATAAAAAACAGAGCATTTTATCGGTAGACAAAAATATGCGATGTGCATTACCTTCAAATGGAATGACCAATGAAGTTTGGATCTCGTAGTTATCGTTCGGTGGGACTATGTAAACCTGTCTACGGAAGGAAAGAATATGGTTATATTCGTCGTCTGGAATTCCTGCCCTTAGGAATGAGCTGGGTGAAGCAATCTGTAGGCCATAATCTTTGAGTGCTGACTCGATAAGCTCATGTGGAATAGATGGACATATATTTGATAAAACTAGACGTTTAGCTGGTGTAACTAGTCTTCTAATACTATGGTCTACGTCTCCTACGCGAACAACAGGATTATTTGTGAGTATAAGGTCCACACATTCTATATTGTTTAGGTAAATGCACAAACGGTTGTTCGAGATTCTGGAAGCGAAGCTAATGTTTTTCGGCCCAATAATATTTCCAATTGATTTGACGTAATCAAATAATTTAAGATTGTTATCAGTTATATGGAACACTATAGCTTGCTCTTATTTTGGATACGTAGTTTTGGGTATTGCTTTGGCAGCAGCAACATATGAAACTGGAGGGCTGTTACTTTCAGTTGTATTTCTGTTATTTGCAGTTGGAGAGTTCATCTCGCCCCTGTAGTCAGAAGCGATAATGGCTTGATCACTAATATTTATTGGTAGTGTTTGCTATAGGCAAGTTTAAATACGGCATGCCGTAAAACTGGTTGCCTATACAAACCAGGAAATTAGCGACTATTCTGATATGCTAGTATCACAGAACAATGTTTATTAGAAATTTACAGAACTAGTGTATTTGTTGGTTATGTCTTGAAAATATTAAAGTAAATTAACTTATGTATAACTCACTTTCAGACAGTTATAACATCATTTCACGATTCACTGTGTTCCATAAACTATATGGTTCAAATTTTAGGTATAACAGTTTTGTTTATATCCAAAAAATTTGACAAAAATTTGGCACTTCACACACAGAACTTAACTCGTTCAGTTTCCGTTGACAGTTGGTGAAATTATTGCCGCAGCCTTCTAATAGCTCTTTTCATTCGTTTATTTCAGAAGATCAGTTCGCGTTCTCCTTTTTTGCAGGTGATGTTACTTAAATATTTTTTTTTCCATTATTTTCTATTTTTACACAGTACTTTTCAGCTTTGATCGCTTTAATTATTTTAATAGTATTAATAACCTCTTCCTCCTATCTTTCTTATGCCTACCTCTTCCTCTGTTTTTGTTTCCAATATTGCATCTGGTTTTCTTCTTATTTGCTTAAAGCATTTCGGCTTTGTTAATTTGAGAGGTCAAGAGATCCTAATCTTGAGCTTTCAATATTGCGTCGTCAGCGTAACAGAATATGTTGCTTTTTTTTATTATGTATCTCCTTTCGCTATTTACGCTTTTAATAAGTTCATTCATGATTCAAGTGATGAGCATAGAGCTTAATGAGTCTCCTTGTCGTAATTCGTTGCCCATGTTTACAGGTCCCTTAAGTTGTTCATCTATTTCGACTTCCATTTATCTTGTTTTGGTAGATGGTACGACAAATTGAATTAAAGCAGCTCAGAACAGAAGAGAATGGCTACTTTTAAAGAAAAGTCCCGATTGAGAGGGTGGGATGATAATTACGAATACGACACAGAGAGCGGGAGAATATAATGAAAAATGAAAAAGTAGGGTCTAAGACTAAAAGTAACACTCAGTTAAATTTAACAAAGGCATTGTTAATAATTAGAGCTATTATCTAAATTACTTACCGACTCAACTACTGCAAAATTCTGAGCCTCCACGATAGTAGTCGGTCTAGATTTGTCCAAGGATTTTATGTGTTGAATAATTTCTCTAAAATTGTACAAAATTAATTAAACTTGCAATTGTGTGTATGCCATTAGATAGAAAAAAAAATCATGCATTCTGGGTTTCTATAAAATGAATTACAAATTTTTGTTTCTGGAACATAGAGGCATTTTCAAATATTTCAGTGGGCTCTAAATATTTCAGAAATCTCTATTTTCTGTTATCTTAAACAGATGGCGCTTAGTATAAACACCACTCTATTAAATGGAAAGTTTGCTTAATGATCTTGTCTTTCTCCAATATGACGGGTTCTCAACAAAGACGGAACGTGTCTTGTCGTAGTGTAAACAAAGATAGACTTTTGGACATTAAATATAAAGGTATTTGAAAACAGTTACGTGATAAGATTAAATGTTTTATATTCTGTAAATGTTCCATATTCGTCAGAGTAGCTTTTGTCAACGTATGACGATTCAAAAAAAAATAATAAGTGTACAAATATTCAACTGCCAACTACGTTTTGGTGAATCTTAGATATATATGATCCTTATGCCTCATGTTTTCGTCGTCATTTCTGAACTGTTTCCGTAATGTATCGTATAATTATGTATGGAACTGATAATAGCATAAGAATATGCTATTTAATAATTAATAATTAACGTTACTAAGAATTAAGGAAAAACTTGGACATCGATTTGAAGAGAATCAAGTAGCAGCAAAAGATGAAATAAAAACAGAAACTTGTGCCTGTATAAATCATTTGTTTACCGATGAATGAAAGATGTAACCAAAGAAAAAAATGTAACCAAAGAAAAAATGAAGCCTGCAGAAAAAAATTTACCCAACACACTAGAACAATGGTACCGAATTACCAAACAAAGACAACATCAGAAGAGAGGATATACAAACGGAAGAAACGAAACCACTTAAATAATGGATATAAATAGGAATGAAAAAGTTCATCAACAGAAAAAAATTTAAGGCAACTACAAACCAATGCAGAAGTCTAAGTGAGGACCTATTAACAACAAGAAAATATGTATTGAGTCGATACAATGGGTGGAATACTTTGAGCAGATATTCAGTATAGAGAAAAAAAGAATCTGGAAGACGAAAGAGATCTTCTTCATGTGCCATCTCCGCAGCGGAGGTCGGCAATCATCATAGCTATTCGGACTTTTGAGACGGCTGCTCTGAAAAGTTCATTTGATGTACTTCCGTACCACTCTCTCAGGTTGCGCAGCCATGACATTATACGCCCCCCTATGCTTTTCTTTCCTTTTATCTTTCCCTGCATAATCAATTGGAGCATGGTGTATTTCTCTCCGCGTGTAATATGTACGAGATATTCTAATTTTCTTTCCAGGAGAGAGATAAGGTAAGTTAAACAGACAAGAGGGAAGAAGAATCAGCAACGATTTTTTAAAATTAAAGACTCAGTTAACAGCCTAGCCAGAAATAAATCACTCGGAATACATAATCTCTCAGCTGAACTACAAGTATATAAAAAAAGTAGCCATGATACCTTAATGGCACTTTTTTTTTGAACCTATTCTCTATCTTTCCATTGTTGGATATAGGTCTCCCCCAGTTCTCTCCATCTTTCCCTATCTTGAGCTGTTCTCTGCCATGTGGGACCTTCTTGTTTCCTGATGTCATCTTTCCATCTCATCTGTGGTCTGCCTCTTGATCTCTTTGCATTGCATGGACGCCACTTTTCGATGGCATTGTTCCATCGTCCGTCTTGGAGACGTTCATTGTGTCCAGCCCATTTCCATTTCAGTTTTGCTGCTTGTTCTATCGCGTCTACTGTCTTTGTTCTGGTTCTGATCCAATGATTACGTTTTCTATCTCTAAGTGATACACCCAACATTTGTCTCTGCATCGCTCTTTGTGCCTTCCTTATCCTATCCAAATTGGCCTGTGTAAATGTCCATGTCTGTGCTTCGTAGGTGAGCACCAGTATTATACAGGAGTTATATACCTTGTTTCGTAAGTATAGAGGGATTGTTTGATTTTTTAGAACGCAAGAAAGTTTGCCGAACGCTGCCCATCCCATTCTTACTCGTCTCGATATTTCGGCTGTTTGGTTGGCTAATGGCACTATAGCAGTTCATAAAAGAAATATAGGTAGAGAAATCCCTACCCAGAGAGTGAAATATTGGAAGGCTTTGCACCATACACAAAAAAGGCTCTAACCAAGAGGAATGACGCTCCTAAAGGCAGCGTAGAATACGAGTCGTCAAAGCAGTTAAGGAATTTGTTTACCCAGTAGCGCTCTTTAACACTGAAAATAACATGCACGGTAAGAAGGTGCCATTTTCAGCTCAAGCTTCTTTTTAAACCCTCCATTATATTTAGAAATACAAATATAAAACTTTACAAAACAATAATACGTCCAGTCCTAACATAAGGGTCAGAGACATGGACTCTAGTAAAAAGTAATAAAAACCTGTTAGTATGTTTCGAAAGATCTCAACACAGCTATTTCGTATAGCAACCAACAAACCATCATAAGAAGAAGTATGTTTCAAAAGAGAAGTACTAAGGAGAACGACAATGGGTCGGTGAATGACAATGAAGTGTGAAGAAGAAATTACAACTTCGAACTTTATAGAATATACCATACATCGTAAAATACACTAAGATAGGGAATTCCACGTGGATCGGGTATGTAAATAGGGTGGAACAAACTGAGCCAGCTAGAAAAACGCTCCTTTGGTCAGAGAAGAAGAGAAAGTCCCAGAACAATTCTATGATACCATTGCTGAAGACATCAAAAAGTTGGGAATACCTGCTTGGCGGAGGAAGGAGCTTGAATAGAATCGACTGGATAGAAGTTCTTGGGGAAGCTACGACTCACACAGGGTTGTAACGCCAGCCTGATGATGATGATTGAAGAGAAATTTATAAACTAGACAACTGTAGAGGACGTAGAAAGCAGATAAGAAAAATTAAAAAAAGAAATACAATAAGCAGCCATCTTAGTCATAACAAGATAAAGACAAAAAGTTAAAATTAACAAAATGGTTGAAAATGATTGAGCTTGTCAATAGTGTAACATTATATTAAAATTAACTATATACTCCAAAACTCTTAAATTTACTCTTATTTTTTAATGCTACAAGTTTTAATCTTCTTCTTTTTCTTTTTATTTTTATTCTTTTTCTTCTTCCTCGTCAGTTTTTCTTTTCAGGAGTAGCTGTTTCTTCTTCGCTACTCATTTCTCTCCATCGTGTCTCTTTCACCTAAACCCTTCTCTCTTTAGTCATCTGCCACAAAGTCCTTCCATCTTCTTCTTTAGTTTTCCACTAGCTCTCTTTCCATTAACTTCTAACAGCTCTAGCCTTCAACCCACGCAGTTTTCGTTTCTACGTCTGACGTGACCAAACCATTGCAATCTTTGTTCACTTTGTACACTTCACTGCCCTACACCAACGCAGGTTTCACCACTCACCATCACCATACGCTACAAGTTTTTAATATATTACTTAAAAATACTAATTTATAAAAAAGGGAATCAATTGTATGAAGTTATATTGTATTTCAAATACTGCGATACGATTTGGTATGTAGGTACATCTGCACGAACCCAGAAATTAAATTGTGTTTCTCTACATTTTTCTCCATAGTTTGTGCAATAAGTAACACATTCGGAAGAAAACATCAACCGCATCATGTCAGAGACCGGTACTTTGGGTACCGTACCCAAATAAAGCGCAGGTAGCTTCCATGACTATTTGCTGATATTATTCTCGATCTTGTTCGGCATGTAACAATGCATCTGCTGATAAGCCTGTCCATTGACGAAGATTTTGGAGCTATGAATATTTCTTCCTACCAATTCCTCTTTTTCCTCGATATTTCCGTTATGTATTAACTACAGTATCCAGTATCTCCTATCTCTCATTATATGCCCCGGATATTCAAGATTTTTTTACTCGTGATATTTTGAGCCTTCGACGATATGGCGACATCTCGAAGGCTTCTAATTTGTTCACCATATTAACCTTCATGAACCAGGTTTCACATCCATATAGTGGCAGCCATAGCTCAGTAGCTATGTTACTGGCTTAACAAGCTGAAGGGCCCGTGTTAAAACCCCGACACCGACAAAATTTTCAATTTATAATTTAACTGAGCTGCCATCGTGATTCGGAGGACACGTAAAGCCGTCGGTTCCGGCTACGAAAGTAGTCATTAAGTCATTTTATGTCATGTAAATACCTAACACTAGACCTTAACCAGAAGGTTATACGAACTTTACTTTTACATCCATATAGTAATACAGAATACATATGACATTTTAGAAACTTGATTTTTAGTTGTAAGTACAGTTGAAAATTGCACAGTATAGATCTTAGTTTCATAAATGTTCCTCTTGCAATTTTTATGTGAGTTTTAATTTCTTTACTTACATTAGAACCAAACATTAAAACATTATTACCGACCATTAGAAAAAAATTTGATATTATCGTATTTTGTGAAAACTGAGAAAATTGATTACTTACTTGAAATAGTTTTTAGCTGCTGGTGCAGCAGTTCTAGGTTCATTGGCGGCGCTCCACAAAATCACAGCTGGCCGATTTTTGTCTCGTTTTATCAATTCTGTCAACGAAATTTTATGTTTTGCCAACAATGAATTAGTAAAGAGGCTAAAAAATAGTAAAGTGTATATTATAACTATTAAGTTGAGGACAGTAGAAATCTCAGTGTAGTAAGAGATTCAGATTAACAAGGGCTTAAAATAAGAAGACTATATCTGCTCGATACTATTCAATCTGATAGAAAGGAAGGTAAACAATAACATACAAATTTGTTTTAAGTTATAGCATATATGTTGATTATGTTGCTATCATAGCAAAGACAAAGATGACGCAGACAGGAATTAAAAAAATAGACGAAGAAACAAAGACAATATGAATAGAAATAAACCAACCAAAATCAAAGGGTATTTCTAGGAAATTTCAAAATTTTCATCGACGTTCGTACCAATGTAGGTGTATGTTTTTACTCTTTCTACTGATTGACCATTCACACTAATTTTTTTAATTTGCTGTTCCTTCTTAGAGATCATCATACATTTTGTTTTCTTAATGTTCAGTGAAAGTTCATATCTCTGACACTTCTGTAATTCTATTCATTAACTCTTGGAGGGCTTCATAACTGTCAGAGAATACTACCGTGTCATCCGCGTATCTGATGTTATTGATACATTCTCCGTTAATCGAATTCCGGCTTCAACATCCTCTACTGCTTCTTGAAATATTTCCTCAGAGTATATGTTAAACAGCAAGGGTGATAGTATTGTAACGACAATATTTTGCCTACCACAGGGGGCATTAATACGGGAGATAGAAAATTGGGGGAAAAAACTATTGGGGGTGGAGATAGGGCAAGCAAAATAATCGCTACTGATGCGAACGGCACTCAGAGTTTCGTAGGAGAGCTGGGGTCGTGGATAAGTAAAAGATAAGGGCATTGGAATAGGGCAACTACAAAAAAATTAAATAAAGGGCTCTTGGGATAAACAAAATAAAAATAAACAAGAAACACCTCAAGGAATTTAATATAGGGCGCCACTTGAGGTGCCTAATTATGCCTATTACAACCACTAGTTGTAACTAGGGAAATAATTAGAAAACAAAATCAAAACATAAAAAACATATCTTTTTCAAATAAACTCAAAAAGGGTTAGCTTAAAAAAAATAAATAAAAAATTAAGAAAATAAAATTTAACTTTTATTTATGTGTCACCACAAACAGTTACAAAATAAATGATTACAAAAGCAATGTTGCTATCGGTTTACAACTCTAGACGGTGGAGACACTATAAGAACTTACATTATTTATAAATTGAAATCATATAGATCTTTCAATGCAGTTTGCATTAAGGTCAACTTAAAAAAAAAAAAAAGAAATTCAAAACTTATGGTTAGTTATGTGTATAAGAATAATTATGACAGTTAGCCAAATCCTAATTTTTATAATTTTACTTATTACAAATTTTTCAACTTGTCATGAAAGCAATTATTAATGATAAATGTCTATTTTTTCTTTAAAAAAAATTTAACAAAAAAGTACCTGACTTCACCAAATATTAGTTTTGGGGCTGGAACTGGTTTTCTAAACACTCCAAATAACACAAGCGTCTCCAAGCTTCAGAATGGTCTGGAATGACCAGGGACAAATAAATAGACGAAGGAAGTTGAAATTCGGCTGGATCATCGGGCTTCGGGTCGAAAAAAAATTGCAAATTTCTAAGCTTGGCCTTTCAAAACTTCATTGAAAATACGATGGCCTCTTATATCGTTGTAACACCTTACAAATCTTCCATTTAGGACATAATACACAACATATAACTTTCCACAAACAGGATTTGTCGGCTTTCTGAAGATTACACGCCGAGCTCTTAACTGCCACCAGACTACACATTTTCATATGACAAATAAAAAAAAAAAAACGAAAAAACATTACGAATTTGAAGAAAAATTCGGACTCCAATAAAACTACAAACGCTCTTGACAGCGGTTTCACCGAGAGTGACGAAATTAAAAATTTGTTCGCTTAACTTGAAAATCAACGAACTGCTGAAATAGCAAAACCAACGAACGACGTAGATATCCTTTGAGACGCATAAAATTGAAAAGAAATTTGCCGAAGTAAAATAAATAAACAACTCTAAAATGGTTTATTTCAACTTGGCCGACCTAAGAAAAAAATGAAAAGATATTTGTGTTTGAATACGTACGAAATATTTTTAGATCTATCAAAAATATATAAGGTGATTTTAATATTTCGTATACGAGGGGACTTCAATATACTTAAAAGAATCAATGAAATTGAAAATGCTACAATACCCCCACGTAAGAGCGAAAACTGGACTAACAGGAAAAGTTTTCGTTTAGGGCGAACAACAATCAGGTTGGAACAACAGTAGCATTTTTCCTAACTACTGCAACAATACATAATGACTTTAATTACTCAAACAGAACAAAAAACAACAAACAAAAATCATAACCAAAACTACTCATCATAACTGTTTATGGTTCTAACATAATAACATACAAAATAAAACTGGATGCTCGATTTGACGAATCGGCACCAGGTACAGTTCGTTGGCTCTTAAGCACAACGACACAATGGCAGATTTCTACTAACATGGCTCTAGCCTAACCAAAAACGTGGAACAGACCAGTGTTGAAGTTTCTGGAAGCGAAAAGAAAGGTGTCTCCAGCTCAACAAAGGCGGGTGGCCAACAACACAGCTTAGACAAGCTTCGCTATGGTTATCCACTAGATAGATAACCAAAACAATATCACACAATAACAAACTTGACTATAACAGTCAAGCAATGAATTTTCAACCACTGGTTGAAAATCAAACACAAACAGAAGAAAACAGGATGGCCAATAGTTCCATAGAAATATCCTCTGGGATCGACACAGCGAAAAATTTCCAAGTTAGGAAACTCCCAAAAGGACCAAAGAAGAACATAAGTCCAAAACGTTAATACACAATCTTGGAAAAGAAGAAACAAAGGGGCACATGGCATAACAAGCCATAATTAATACACAATCAGTTCAGTCTCAAACTAATACTTCCAAAAGAAACAAAAAAAATCGTAACAGTCTTCCAAAGAAAACAAAAAGTTACGACAACACTCCAACACAAACAAAAACATCACTACAGATCTCCAAGGGAACATAAGAAACACTATAATCTTCCAAAAGAACAAAAAAATCATTACAGTCCGTCATCAACAATAAAACTTTCAACACGGAACACAAATCTCATAAGCAGGGCAAGAAGGGCAAAGAAGAAGAAGAGTATATATATACACAAGGCAAAAACTAATGACTTATCTTCCTTAAAAGCTCAACAGGTCACCTGGCGGACGAATCCAAAACTCATCGACCTAGCCGTTCCTCTTATGACAACTAATAAGGTCAAAGACACCGTTTGGGAAGGGAATAAAAGGGCAACATCAAGAAATAAACTTCATCACTTCACGAATAATAATTGAATACAACATCTTCATACAAATCGGAAAGAAAACGTTCACTATTCTTCAACAAAACTCGAACAGGGTCACAACATTATAAGTCTGGGGAATTCTTAGTGGGTCATTCAACGGTAGTACTAGAAAAACTTCAGATGTTTCACTAACATGGTCTCACAATCGACATAAACAAAATTTTCACAATAAACGGCGGCAGGTACTTTCACCTCAGCAAATCAAAACGTCACAATGGACAATGCCAGTATTTGTACCTCCGCTTCCACCAAATCATCAACACTACATCACAAACACTACAACAAGAAGGAATGCTATTGAGACTAGGTCAATAGTCTTACTTCAACACTTAGAAAGGCTCATCCTTTCTAATATATCACGGAAAGGGGATGCTGCTACGCAGTCTTACACAACAACAGAAATATCCAAGGAAACACAAATCCAGGTCACATGCCTGTACGTCCTATATGATATTTCAACAACACATTTCTCAAATCACCAACTAATACATTTTAGACCATCAACATATCTCCACTACATCTGACCACACAAAGACACGGAAAGACACAAAACTAACAGACAGAAAAAACATCACAATACTTTCGCTATGTATTCTCAACAAATCGGCCTTAGCCAGGAATACACGAAGTCGTATCATCACTCTCTTCTACGTGTACACAAAAAAGAACTACGGAGAAACACAAGACTAACAGACAAAAGAAAAATAACAATACTCCGCTCTGTCACCAACAAATCGGCCTTAGCCAAGGACAAACGGAATCGTATCATCATTTCCTCCTACTTATAACACAGAATAGGAACAAAGAAAACACGGGGAAACACGGAAATAACAAACATAAGGCAAATAACAATACTTCGCTTTGTCACTAACAAATCGGCCTTAGCCATGGACAAACGAAATCGCACTATTACTCCCTTCTACTTATAAAACAAAAGACAACACGAAAACACATGGACTGATCATGGACTGTAAAATCAGAAGCATTTTCCTTATCGGGGCTTAAAAAAAAATTTCACACATTGCCTGGACTATAAAATCTTCATATCTATCAAGCAAAAATTTGACCTACATTTGCTCAAAGACTCAATAAGACGAAATAGATAACTTATAAACACTTAAAGAAACTACAGCGTCTACATACGAAATAAATTATTTCGTTAACGTAAACAAAATTCTTTTCTCAGACATGGGATATTATTTACTCAAGACGAACTTGGAAATAAACAAACTAATATCGTTCACATTTAAAAATGCCGACAATAAAGAATGACGTGATTCCAAATACGTATTTTTCGATTCACAAGGAAATAGACGAAAATTATTTCTACATAATTTTACGAAAACTGGACATAGAAAAAAATGGAAATCGTAGCAGTTAACTTGGGACATGAATAGACTTGATTTAACCGAACACTGGATAAAGCAAATCACAATACAACTGAAAATACCGTTCGAAACAAACTCAACGAACTTCACATACAGGGCGGGACAAAAATAGTACAACAATGATTGGGTGAAAGCAAATACACAATGTATACAAAACAACATACTCGATAAACTTCACATACAGGGTGATACAAAAACACTAATAATACTGAAAACTTGACTTTTGAGTG